AATTTGTTTGTTTCGTTTTAAATTTAATTTAAATTTAAAGTTACACTCAAAATTAAAATATAAAATAAATTATTTAATAAATTAAAGTCATAGGTCAATCAAAAATTAAAAATTAAAAATAAATAAATAAATAAATTAAACGTAAGTCATTTACTTGTACATTGTCCATTTTGAATTGCTAAAAGCTTATTTACGCTATCAAGTCCTTTTAATTATCTTTAGTTTTATTCATATCAGTTTTAAAGCATTGAAAACTTATTGTTTGAGAGCCTTTTTACTCTTCAAAGCACTTGTTGATTTTTTAGTTTTTTTAGCTGTTGCTGTTTGTTTCTTAGTTGTTGTATTTTTGGACTCACGTGCTTCACGTCTTGCTTCAATGACATCATCACCAATTATATCATCTTCATCATCATCATCATCGTCATCCGCTTCCTCTTCGTCATCATCACCTGTTATGGCACCTGTAATATCATCAACTCCATCATCAATATCATCATCATCATCTTCTTCATCATCATCATCATCAAATACACCGACATCATAATCGTCGTCTTCATCATCAGCAGCAGCATCAGCTGCCTGAGCCTTTGGTCCATTATTTGGTCTTAATAGGACATTAGCAGCTGATGCTGGCCGGCTTAGATGATTGGGACTAATCAAAACATTCTGACCACTACCACTACTTGTGTTTGTTGTTGTTGTAGTTGTGACTGTTGTTGGTTTTTTAAACGTGTTGGTTTGTTTGATTTGTTCTGACGATGTTGATAATGTTTGTTGACTGTTTCTAATGTGTGGTGTATTGCTACTACTAAGATTACTAATTCTACTGACATTACTACTACTACTACTACTAACTTTATTACTATTACTACTACTACTACTGCTACTATCTACTAGATTATTACTTGCTTCTTCATCATAAAAAACATTTATTTCACCTTCGTTGTTGTTACTCGTTGAGGCGATGTCATCGGCAGCATTGCCAGCAATTGAGGCGTCAGCTGAGTTACCATTTTCCGCAGGCACATCTAAACCATCGTTAATACCAGAGCTTACGGCAGACTGCCCAACGGGCGCAATATCCTCTAGGGAAGCAATTGGTGCGGCTGGTGCAGCAGCTACAGTATTTTGTACGCTAGCAGCTGGAACTACATCGTCCTCATCATCATCTTCGTCATCATCTGAAAATAATAATATAGTAAAGTAAATTTAATAAGAAAAACATAATCAGAAATATAAGAATATAAGGAAAAACTAGAAAAGTATGTATAAGCAAAGTGTAGTACATAAAATGCAGCTGATAGTTTGCTTGTCCTTAATGCCAAAGGATAACAATATAAATGGCAAAGGTGTATGAAAGTAACAAAAATTTAAATTTTATAAGGGATATAAGAGATAAAATAAGCGATAAAATATTAAAACCTTATTTTAATATAATAATGACAACTATTAAACGCTTCTGCATTAAAAAAAGTAGAGTAATATATATATCTGTGTATGCAGATATGGTATGAGCTAAAAAATAATTGAAAGCCCTTCATCAGTGGCCACAGGCTTTCAATTTTAATAAGGTTACTACGCATTTTCACGATAAGACTATAAGGAACTCTGAAGTGTACTGTCATCAGCTAAACAAATTGTATGATTCACTTCGACAGAACCGCTCGAAATTGATCAATTTATTAAAAGTTGTTCCACCAAATTGATAAGAGTGAGACCTCATACAGATTGTTGTGGATGGGATATATTGCTACATTCTCTTTTATTATTTATTCCAATATTTATAAACAGTACACGCTTTCAGAGAGTAAAACCTTTGTTTCAAAGGGGAAGTTAAAAATTATCCCAATTAGTTTTTACGAGCCAAGACCAATAATTTATTTGTGGAGGAAGGCGTTGAACCAGAATATGAATTTTAAATGCTTATTACTAAGCTTGGTTGGTTGGTTGCAATGACAGGCTAACAGATATCTTTCAATTGACCTCAATTAGAGTTTTTTCGACCTTGAAACCTTGAGATAGAAAGATACAGACTAAGTCCATCCCGTCGAATTTCGATTATTTAATAGATCTTGCATCTTTACTGATGAACAGTCTGATTAGCTGTTAAAAAAGAACTTCCTTAAAAACCTATTTCTTCTGGACGACAACGCCGGGACTTATTGATCAGATTGTGTAAAATATTGAAATGATTTAAATATAGACTAAATATATACAAAAATAAAAAACCAAGATCTTTTATTAATGTAATGTATAATATAAAATTATATCGTAGACAAAAATCCTAAGTGACCAATAAGCCTATTAATAAATAGGCTTATCTATTAAGCTATATCATAAAAATATTAGATGCAATTATATACATAAAGTACAGTATAACTTACCACCCAAAATATCATCGAATAATCTATCCAAATAATCATCATCATCATCATCGTCATCATCATCGTTGGCACCTGATGCTGGAGCAGCTTGACCTTGTGGGGTATCATCTTCTTCATCATCATCATCATCCTCTTCGTCATCATCATCTGAAAGCCCCGAAATAAATACAACTGTTATATACATGAATGAAGAGACATGAAAAAAAAAATAAAAAATATTATGGACTGCAAAGATAAACAAATTTAAACGAATATCCTGTATACAGGGTGCGTATTGTATTGTAAAAACTGTGCCAATAGATCCAGAAAAGTAGCTACACTGAAATAACTTGCTAAGAACTAACAATAGGCAGTCACAAGTTGAAACTGTTAAAAGTTTAATAGATAGTAACAAAAATATATAGTTAAATAAGAACTGAGCATTAAAAATGCACTGTAGACGTCATACGTGTTTGTGTACTGTGCTTGAAATTCACTCGAATTTTTCTCCAGGTGCATAGGGACGACTATTAAAAAGTATTAAGTATTTAGCTTGAGAGATAAAACAAAATTAAGTATTTTTTTAAAGAAATAATAACGAAAAAAAATATGTTTGGTGAAAGAAAATTTTATTTACCATCATCATCATCCACAAGATCACCTAGATCTGGCTCATCATCATCATCATCTTCATCGTCGTCATCATCATCATCGGTAGAAGATGCAGCGGGTGCGACATCATTAACTCCACTGGCTTGTTGACGTGAGACTGCACGGGACTGACGTTCCAGATGATTGACGGGTGAGGCTTCGATTTGCAGCAGCAGCGCGCTAAGTACACACAGTAATATGACGAATTTCATGGTGCTGTAAAGAGAAATTGAACGTATTTAAATTAAGATAATTTATAATAAATTAAGCAAATTATTAAGAAAATTTTATATGCATTTTCGACATATGGTATCCTAATTTGTGTCGAAATGAATGACCACGTAAGTAAACTGAACATTTGCCAATTTCAATTAATTTCTTTATTTTTTTTTTTCTTGCTGGGTTGTGCCTTTGTTTGTTTAAATTAAGAAAGTCAATTTTCGACTTGTAAATGAAAGAAGTGAAATTTCTGAAGTTCAATAAAATTTCACTGCCTCTTCGTTTACATGCCAAAATGTCTTTCACGTCTCGCATACAAAATAGCATGCGCTGTCATAAATACGCAGATACATTAACGCAGATACAAGTGCATATGTGTGTATGCAAGTAAGTCAATAAATTTAAAAACAATATCAGAATATAAATTTTCTTTTATTTTGGTTTAATTTTATCACAACTTTTACTTGCTTAACTGCCAATTAACAGTCCAACTCACATTTGCCAACGAGCAATTCAATTATTTTATCTAATCGTTTGTCTAAATAACTGATTATTATGTAAACAGTGTAAATAATACATTATGTAGATACATAATCTGAGAATGGAGTTAAATTCATAACCTCACAGCAATTAAACATAACTCCGTGTATCTAAAGCATCAGGCACGTCATAATTATTAATGAATCCACATGAGGAAAAAGGAATTATTTTCATTCAATATTTACTCAGGTTGCCTTTAAGTTGAAAGATAAATTGAAAATATTAGATAAATATTGCTATGTCATTCAAGATATATAATTTGGCCGCGAGTGCTGTAAGTAATTATTTTCTGATTATGCATTAAGTTAAGTTCTCTTTAAACAGTGTATACTTGTTCATTATTGCTTATATTACGAGTATAGTAAAATATTACTAAAGGAAATATTTACTAAATAATTAGTAGTCTGATATTCTGGTTCCTTCCTTAATTTATGATTTTTAAAATATTTAATTCAATACAAAATAACATAATATGACTAAACTGAATCACGAATATTCACACAAACATACTGTTATAATACACAAGAGAACATCGTTATGGTTGCAAATTTGTTTTTATTTTCTTTGTACACACATTTTGCATAAGCATATTTGCTTTTTTGTGCTATTGCATCAGCTAACCTTCAACTCAACTCAAATGTGTAAATTTTACAATGAAATTAAAAACAATATTCTGCAATAAGAATAGTACGTTTATCAGTGGCAGCAAAAAACAATAACCAACGAATGTAATAATCAATACGGCTAAATTTACTACTGGAAGATTTTTGCTTTTATAATGAATGATATCATTAAAATAGAATAATATATTCTGAAAACACTTTGAAAATAAGAACAAATATAAAAAACATCTTAGTACAATGCAATGGTACTCAATTTTAAAAATTTTAAATATCACGTATTAATAGAGAAAGATCGGTACTTCAGATAAACGCCAAATTAAAGTGTTGGTTCATTCCTACAACTAATATTTTGGAACCCATCTCAGTAAAACCGAGCTGTGTTATTAAGAGATTATCTAATGAGTCATTATAACTTGCGTCAGTATATTGATGAGACAAGTATGTCTAAAGAGATAGAATGCTGGATTTGGATTTATAGAAAATTTGCATTATTATATCTTTAATTTAAACACAAGTTTCTTAACTTATTTCTTATTGAATTGCATGATGTGATATTTTTATTGAATATTGCATGAGTGATAGTAGACTCAAACAGACTGATTGGAATATATCAGAAGGGCAGAAGTTTGAGAAAATTATGAGGTTGTTAGCAATTAAATAAAGTCACGAATTTTTTTTTGTTCGTTATCAGTTGAACTAGTTGACAAGAACTTCATCCCAAAACCGGTTAACATATCGGGATTTCCGGGATGCCATGCTAGTGTTTTGGGACAACAAAAACAACAAAAACAACAAAAACAAGGCTGGTATAACAAATGCTATTCACTTGAAGCCACTACTGAATTAATTTAATTATACATTTATTTGATAAATTTAATTTATTTACTATTTTTTTTATATGGCACAACATGTATGTGGTGTGCATAATAACTACCTTCTCGGTGCAATGTAATATATCACAATTGGCATAATAAAATAAGGAATTCAATATCCTCCGCATAAACCACTTAGTATGACATATCGTACAATCGAATTTTATTACAGATTTCTCTCTATTCGATTCCCTTACGAAGAAGTATTCACGCCAGAAAATATTTTTATGAAAGTCAAAATCGTGTTAAATTCAATGCCACAACAGTTCAATGTCGTTTTGTTTGCTGGCGCTCCCGCCGCTCCTGCCGCCGCCAAGGGAATATAAACAAACCTGGTGAGTAAGAGTGTATGAAATATACACGAATATTGACCACTTTTAGCAGCAATCATGTGTTTAGTTTTTTCCATCTGTGCATATCAGTTGTACTCGTTCGTTTATGGGCAACCCAAGCAAAATAGAAAATATCTCACTTCACGGTTGCACATAGAATTTTAATATTTTCACACTAAACATTCTGGTTACGTGCTCGCCACAAAGCACTGTTCTGCTCTGCGTGTATCGTCTACGGGTTTCTTCCACGGCAACAGCGGATGACACCCAAACCAGCCTGCACTTACGATTTGCACCTACCTACATGTATGTGTATGTGCTACGGCGAATTTAAGCAACACACTTTGTTGTTACTTTTTTTGCATTTACTTTTCTTTTTTGTTTTTGCTTTCTTCAGTTGCTCTATGGATAGTTCAGTTGCTCATGTTTATTTCAGCTTTGGGGTTTTGTGCGGAGGATATTTTTTTTGTTTTTGTCTTTGGTACTTTTTGTCTGCTCCTTTAACCATTTTGTGTGTCAACGCATGTTTTTCGCACACAAATTGCTTTTTTTTTGCCGCCACTTCAACTCTGCGCTGTGTAGTGTTTTGTGTTATCATTTTTTGCTTTTTGTGTTTGTGTTTTGCGTTTTGCGTTTTGCACAATGCGAGGAACCTTTTAACATTTTGTAGGTTTCGCTTGGATTGGAAGTTACAGTGCACAAGTGCCGCTGCTGTACAATGAAGTAGTTACGATTTAATAAAAAATCTGCAAAAAGAGTTGAAACCTTGCGAAATATGTGTGCATGCCTTGCACTCGATTAGATTTTATGAGCACTGCTGCACAATGGAAATAAGTTGCACACATTTTTTGCATATTTCCATTTTGCACTTTATTCAGTTTTTATCACTTTTCAGAAAAAGGTGAAACTTTTGTTTATGTCCTTTAGAGAGATTTTTTTTTTTAATATTTTAGTTTGAAAATTGTGCAATATTTTTTGTTTTTTATTTTTTTGAAAATCATTTTGCATTTAAATTATGCGTTATGTTACTTATGCAGTGCAGTCCAACAACAAAAATCTTTGAGTAATGTGACACCTTTTTTGGGATATGCAAATAATTCAGCTAAAAGATATGTACATATATCAGAGAATATGTGTCAAAACATTATGCAGAAGGCTTTGAAAAAATGTAAATTGCATTTTTTTTTTTTTCAAAAAAAGTGCCTAAAAATAATATCGTTTTAAAATGTATTAGAAAGTAGAGCAATGAAATTGGAACATATTCTCTTTATCAGATATTGGATAAGAGCGCAAAATGATATATCAACAACGCGCAACAATTATGAAATCTTGTTCTGTGCCCTAGGTCATAACTGGCAGGTGTGTTAATGGGTCTACATACCTAGTGATTAGAAGTTATTGTTGTTTTAATGAACCACCATTACTCAGCGGGCGTTGTGTTGTGAATATTGTATATTTGTATACTTAAAAATAGAATGAGAATAAATTATGTATCAATGAGTGTTTGTTATGGTAAACAAACTGTCATATAAGCAAAAATGTTTGAAATATAAACACAAATCATATAATGCGATTAACACTAAACTTATTGCAAGCAGTGGCAACCCTACGTGTTGCCAAGTTTAAGTCAAAAAAAATTCAAAAATGTTTTTAAATGCATATAGCAAATCAAATAAATGCGATGATTATTATGTTTATTGTCAGCAATGGCAACCCTGCATTAAGAGTACTCAAAAGAAAAATTTACTCGAAAAAATTCTTCGAAAGATCTATGCTGTGAGTATTGAACGAGCATAGAATTAGATGAAAGGATGAGCTCTACGTGAGATACCAAGAAATTGACATAGTTAAGAGCATAAAAAATTTAGCGGTCCTGTCGTGTGAATGGAATAAAATGCTTGGGATAGGAAGATACTTGATTCGTTACCCACAGGTGAAAAACGTGATACAGGATATTTGCATTTTCGGTAGAAGAATGAGGTAAAAAATGGTGTGCAGACATTCGATACCACCAACTGGCGACAGCAAGATACTGATTGGGTGTCTGGACCAGCCTACTGGATGCGGTCAAGAATGACTCATGTATGTACTGACCAACTTTAAAAGTAAGTAAGTGGCAACCCTAAGCGTGGTTAACTAATTGTCAGTTAATATACTTAAAAAAGACTTGAAATATAAACAACAGTTAATAATTAAAAAATATATTGTAAGCTGTAGTTATCATTGTTGTTGCTAGGAGCCAAGTAACGTTATCAATAAAAAATTATTCATTTTTAAGCATTACCTAAAATGTTTTCTTGCACTTGAGGCCATAGTCTTAAAAGAGATCAACTATCAAAAGCTATTTTCATGATGTCCGGTTAGAACTAACTTATTCGGACATTTATTGGAAATGTGAATTTTATTTTCTTAAATATACTTTTAATAATACTCTTTACTTTCTATATTTTTATATTTTTATATTTATATTTCTTCTCTCATATATTGTTTTATAATGAAGGTTGTTATGGTACTTAAGTCCATCATAACTTTTCTAAGGTAAAAATATGCTATTATTATTATTTTTCTCTCACATTTTATTTTATAATAGAGGATCTTATGGTATCAATATTTTTCAATATATAAA